ATGCCTCCTTGCCCCACACCACTCCTGGGTTGCGACCTCCTGACCAAACTCAGGGCTACTCTCTCATGGTTCCAACACCCTAGCGCTGCTCTCATCCTCCCACGACTCCAAACATCTCCTAATCCTTCTCAGGACTCCCCGCTGTCTCCTTCCACTGTCAACCCCCTGTTCTGGAATATCTCTATCCTGATTGTTGCCACCCATCATACCCCAGTTCTCATTCGCCATAAGGATCCCTCTTCTTTTCCCTCTCACCCCCAGTTTCCAATTTCCCTCATACACCGTCAGGGTCTCAAACCCATCAGCCAACGACTCCTGGGAAAGGGACTCCTTACTCCTATCAACTCGCCCTGTAATACTCCCATTCTCTCCATTAAAAAGCCTGATGGTTCTTATCCCTTAGTTCAAGACCTTCGCCTTATTAACAAAGTGGTGGTGCCTAGCCATCCCGTAGTGCCAAACCCCTACACCCTTCTATTTCATATACCGTCTCCTACCACACACTTCTCTGTACTTCACCTCAAAGGTATTATTTTTTTACCATCGCTCTGGATCCTCAATGTTACTTACTATTCGCTTTTACTTGGGAAAACCCGGACACACACCTCCCAGCAACTGGCCTGGACAGTCCTGCCTTAGGGTTCCCGGGACAGCTCTCATCTGTTTGGTCAGGCATTAGCCAGTGATCTCTCGACATGTCATACTCCACCCAGCACTCTCCTCCAGTGTGTTGCTGACTCCTCCTCTGCCGTCCTTCTCTGCCACTGTCTCGGCAACACACTGCACAGCTCCTCAGCTTCCTGTGCTCCAAAGGATACTGTCTCCTCATTCAAAGCGCAGCTCTCAGTTCCCACAGTCATCTATCTGGGTCTTCGACTGACTCCTTCCTCCAAACAGCTGACGGTGGACCACAAACAGGCCATCCGGGACCTTCCCTCCCCTGAATCGGCAAAACAAATCCTTTCTTTCCTAGGTTTGGTTGGATTCTTCCGTCATCGGATCCCTAATTTAGCTTTCCCAGCCAAGCCACTGCACAATGCAGCAAAAGCCTCCCTGAAGGACCTCTCCAATCCCCCGAAGAGTCCGCAGGGTTACACATATCCTTCTTCAGGCACCTGTCCTTACCCTTCCTGATCCAGAAAAGCCTTTGCTCCTGTTCACAGACGAACGTCGGGGCACTGCGGCAGGCGGCCTTTCCCAGCCTCTCGGACCAGCCCTGCATCCTATCCCTTATCTCTCCAAGCAGATGGATCCCACCGTTAGGAGCTGGCAACCCTGCCTTAGAGCCCTGGTGACGATAGCTCTACTCACCCGGGAATCTCTCAAACTTAACTGCGGAAAGACCCACCCAAGTACATTCCTCGCACTGCCTTCAGGCCCTCCTGTCTCCCTGCTCGCTCTCCACTCTCACTCCTTCCCACTTACAGGATTTCCATGTGCTCTTTATTGAAAACCCTCTGGTAAGGGTTTAATTCAGTCTAATTCTCTCAACCCAGCCACTCTCCTGCCTGTCTCTGGTCCCCTTTCTGCCGCCCATTTCTGTCCTAAAATCCTGAAAAAATGCTCCTTTGTCAGATGCCTCCTGTGTTTGTAGACTGGCAGCTCTTGTAAAGATGCACGCGGTCAGCGGAGGGCCAACTAGGCCACTGTTACCATCAATCAGCTCACCAACTGCGTGGACACCTACCCGGACATGATTGACCTCTCCCTACTCAGCCAACTGCTCCGGAAACATGCAGACCGGTACTTACCCCGTCCTGCCTCGGATCTCGACCTCCTCAACCAACCTTCCCTACCACTGCATCCAGGAGACCAAGTCCTGCTCAAATCGCTTCAGCCAAAGCCACTGCAGCCTCGGTGGACCGGCCCACGCACGGTTATTCTCACCACGCCTACAGCGGTAACACTTCTGGGACACCCCGCCTGGCACCATCTATCACGGGTCAAACGTGCCCCTGAAGACAAACAGTATGTATGTTATAACCTGGGTACTACTAGGATGTGCATTTCTTGTCAAAATCTCCCCTAGCTCAGTGTCCTGGGTATGGAAATTCAAAGTTAGGGAGACCTTTGTCTCAGGATCCACTGAGACCACCCAACAGGTGGGTACTGCGGAGTGCCCACAGGCCAGATGCACAGCACCTATCACTCTCACCCTAACTTTCATCGATTAATAACCCTATAAATACCTTGTTTTGTTTCTTTACCATCAAACCTTAGATCACTGCAAAAATACCTATGGAGAATATGGGGGGTGCCCTTACCAGTCCAAAGGCCAAATGTTCTCTCTGGTCCGTCATAATACGGGCTTCAATATGAATCAAGTTAGCTATACTATTTCAGATCCTTGGGACCAACGTTGGGTACAGGGAGTCCAAGCCGCAGTGTGCACTGGCTGGCATTCCTACCCAATGGCAACACTGTCCATCTCAAGGGAATATGTCCCGACACAAAGTCCAAGTCTCCCAGGACATCCTCCATTCAGAACAAATCCTATAAAATTAGCTAACATCACTTAAAAATACTGAGACACCCTCAATTTGGATTCATATAATCCAAAACGCTATAACCTTCCTAAATGACTCTTTTGGGACTAACACCTCCTCTTGTTTCCTCTGTGCTTCCCTTCGGAGGCCTCTACTGGCGGCAGGTCCAATTAATCTCAATACCACTATGACCAAAATAACAGACGCTGCTTGCCAGACTCCCCAACTCTCTTTCACCCTATGGGACTGCAATCACAGCTACCCCTGCTATCAAACTGATGCCCTTGTCAGCTTTCATTCCTGTGCTTCTAACATTTCGGTTACTTCTGCGCTCCGAACAACAACAAAGGGAAACTTTTTCCGGTGCAATGGCGCTCTCTCTCAGTGTATTAATTCTGCTACTCCAGGCCCACGTACTCTCTCGTGGTCCCACAGCTAACTCTATACAGACGGTCTGAGCTAGGTTCGTTATTCTCACCACATCAAACTAAGCGGGCAGCCTTTCTTCCAGTCATGGTTGGAATCAGCCTGGCATCATCAATAGCAGCTGCAAGTATGGCAGGTGGGGCCCTGGGACACAGCCTGATTTCTGCCCAGAAATTTTATGAAAACATACCTCCTTAGAAAAAACCTGTGTGTCTTTAGCATCATTACACAGACAGCTCACCTCCCTGGCACAGGTCACTCTCCAAAACCGGCGGGCTAATAAAGGGGGTACCTACTTGTTTCTCAGGAAATAATGTTACTATATCAACAAATCGGGCATTGTAGAACAAAATGTAGAAGCCTTAATAAAAATACCCAAAGACATGGAATGGAAAACCGGGGACTCCAACTCTCCGCTGACATGGTTTCAAAATCCTATAGTGTTATGGCTCCTCCCACTCTTGGGGCCAATACTAATAATAACCTTATTTTTTCTTTTCGCTCCTTGCCTCCTAAAGTTCATACAGGCTCACATTCGGGAAATGTCTCGTACCACCTTTAACCATCTCCTGCTCCATCCGTATTCTCGCATCCCTGCAGAAGACCCTCATAACCAGGCCTGAGCCACCCCCTTGGTCTTCCGCCCCTTTTCAGCAGGAAGTAGCCAAAGAAAGAACCGTCGCCCCTTTTCCTATCAACAAAAGGCTGGTATGAAAGGTCCATGCAGGAAGCCAGAATGCAGGAGCCAACCAGGAAGCCCACCTGGGGGGCAGGAACGCGGATACATGCCTGGAGGACTGGACAATGAGCCTCCCCCCTCCCACTACGAGTCTCATCTCAGACAAAGAACCTCTACCTGCCCTACAAACTTTTCCCGCCATACGAGCCCAACTACCCACCCAACCTCTCCTCACCCTATAAAACCCTGCTTCCCCCTAACAACGTGCGCTACTCCACTGACCCCCTGCCTTGGGTCTGTGAGGTCCGCTCGGGGCGCAATAAACTTTCCCTCCCTTTGAGAAATGTAGCCTGGCTCTCCTTTTCTTTACCGCACCGAACCTTTCATGCACTTTAAAATCTAAGGTTAACGAGGCATTTAAAAGTAACCAAGGGTGACTGTTGCTGCCTGTGACATCACCATGTGCGTAAACATTGTTATCAAGTTGAAAATTTATGGAGTAGACCAGATATTTTTGTAATGGTTGAGTAAGAGAAGTTGATGTCACTGCTGCAGTAATCCCAGGCTGTTAAACTTTTCACTGAATTTCTTGCGTTTCGCTTTTGAAGAGGGGTATTTGCTATTTCAGGGCAATCATGGATTTAAAAAACAAAAAGAAAAACCACAAACCTGAAAAACTTACGCTTTGCTAACTTGGGAGAAAAATCATGATCCTGTGGATCTACAACTTGGAATAAGGAAAACAAAAGAGCAAGTATTTCTCGCCTTGCTCATGATATCATGCACAACCCCCCACGGATATTTGGGTCCTCGGCCTGACAAAGAAGATAGGAGCTGCCTCTCCGAGGCTTGGTAAAATCTGCAATTCTAAGCTGGCAATTGGCTCTTGGTGCACTCCAGCCCCAGTTCAGTTCCCTCCTTGTCTGTCAAATGTTTTCACCTCACAGCCTTTAACGAGGGCCAGAAAAGTAAAGGACTGTCACTCGGCTGCCGCGGGCGGTCTCTCCACAAGCAGGGTCCGGCGGACGGGGGTGCGGGACGAGCCCGTCACCCTCCCGCGGGCCGGGGCGCCGCGCTCGCTCCTCGGACGCCGGCGGGGGCTGCCCTCTTCCAACATGGCGCCACGGGAGGCGGGTCCGGCTCTCCGGCTCCCCGGGTTCCGGCGCCGCGCGTTTTGGTTCCGGAGTAACAGTTCCCTCGCCGCCCCCTTCCTCCTCCTCCTCCTCCTCCTTCCCCAGCCGCTGCCGCCGCCTGAACGCGCGGCCTCGGGCCACCGGGGCTGAGTCCGCGTGCGCCGCGCCCTCTGGTTCCGCCGGGGGCGGAGGACCTGCCCCCTGCCCCCTGCCCCCTGCCCCCTGCCCCTGCCCCTGCCCCTTGCCCCCTGCCCCAGCGGCGCGGGCCGCCTCGGCTTTAGTGCGCTTCGGCGGCCCCGCGGTTCCTGCCTAACAGCCCTGGACTGAGTCTTCCCGAGTCAGGGACCCTCCGCTGGTGCCCTAAGGAGTGGACACCTGCCACTGTGTCTCCCTAGGAGGGGTCGTGGCTCCGCCGGCTCCTCACACCCGCACAGAAGCCACAGAGCTTCACGATCCCGTTTTGCCCTCCTTTGCAACTCCAGAACCTTCCGACCTCCGCTAGTTCCCACTGGCCCCTGTTCCTTGCCCATCCCGCGCTCAAAGGGGGGCATCTCACCACCCCCTACAGCCTGGACCTGGCCAGATGCCTAAGGGGCCCCTTCCTGATCACCCCTCTCTCCTCTCACTGTCTGTCCTCTTGGAGGCCTCTCTTAACCAGGGGCCAGTGGGTACCCCCTTCCTCCAGGATGTGAGCCCCTTTAACCTGTAATGCTGTGGCTGACCCTTGGCCCCTTCCATGCCATGGAGAACCAGGTGCTGGTGATTCGCATCAAGATTCCAAATAGTGGCGCGGTGGACTGGACGGTGCACTCCGGGCCGCAGTTACTCTTCAGGGATGTGCTGGTGAGTGGGAATCTGTCCAGATGCCTGCGAGGGGTGCGCAGGGATTTGTGGGGGCAGTCGGCCCCTGAAGTAGACCTCTTAATCTTACCCTGGTGGCCTAAGCTAGTTGCACTGGCCTTTACTGACCTGGGGTAGGGGGTGGGCGGTAGGGGGTGGGCGGTAGGGGGTGCTTTCACTGCTTTAACTTCAAGTATCGATTAATTTGCATGAACTGGAAACTGGCAAATGTGCAGGGCTGGGGCAATAGAAATGGATGGGATTGAACTGCCTCTCAGAGCTCACTGCCTGGACCAGGACACATACAGGGGCAACCTAAGCTGCCCCCAAGTCTAGAAGAGAGTGTTCCCTTTCCCCTCACCTCTCTCCAGACCATCCCACCTGCCCACAGAGTGTTTTGAGAATTGTCTCTAGCCAAATTCCAGGCATATCTTTCTACTGAGTTCCCTGAACTTGGTGACCAGAGGGGAAGGAAAACAAGGTAACTTTATCTTACGTTTAGCAAACCTAAAGTGCCATTAGTTTTAAGGTATGATTTTATGTGCCACTAAGAAAGGAAAAAAATGCCATCTACACAGAGTACAAAAGCAGCCTAAAATAGGGAGGTTGTGCACATTAGACTCAGTGATGTATTCTTACTTCCAGGATACTGAGAATATATTTCAAATAAAATCATGGAATGTGAGAACAGGGTGTAACACTGGAGGTGGCCTGCTGAGCCCCTGTCTTTTGTCAGCGGTCTTGAGGAGCAGTAAGGTGAAACTGCTCTTGAGTTGGGAGAGTCGGTACCACAACTCAGATTTCCTCACTTTTCTAAGTTCCTTTTTCACGTGCTGTGGTGACATGTTTCATTTTTGAGCATACTTTTGAGGTGGGCAAAGTGCATTGTGCCCATATCATATCTTCAATACCAGGTATTAAAGGCAGAACTGATATACCAAGAAGACCTTTGAGAGTACCAGAGCTTACCTGTAAGATAAATTGGGGCAATTGGAGGATCTTGAGAGGAGGAAGACCTGTGATGTGATTTTTTTTTATTGGATTTGGTGACTTAATCAAAATTTGATTCCTGTACCTTCATTTTGAGTTCTGGATGTTACTGACCACATAGGCCAATATGCATTTTCAGGCGTCTGAGCCAGGACTGCAGAGATTGGAGTGAGCCAGCAGCCTCCAGTCTTGTATGCCAAATGTCATCCTTCCTTTGCATCTGGAGTTCTCCACATACTCTTATGCCCATAGATTTCCTCTTGTGATAAGGCCCATACGCCTTAGCATGGTCCTTTGGGCCCATCTTGATTGGTGCGTGCCTGCTTGGTACCAGTTTCATCTCTCACCACACCCCTGTGAGCATCCTATGCTCCAGCTAGATGGAATTACTTTAAGTTTTCCCAAGTACCTTGGTAATCTCCCCTCTTCTGTTTTTCAGCTGATCAACTCCCACCTGTCTTTCAGAGCCCAGCTCCGCATTCCCTCCAGGTTAATCTTGGTTGTAGACCAATCCTCCTTGTCCCCACAACTTTGTCCCAGCAAAGCACGAAGGTTTTTTCATATGTCTGTCTCCTCCACTAGATGATAAACTTCTGGAGGAGATGCACATCTTTGTTTCCCTCTTTTTCTGGTGCTCCAGAAAAATATTTCAGGGTCCCAAAATATTTTTCTAGTGAAGGAGGAGGCTTAAAAGAGAATGCAGGCAGGGCCTCCCTGGTGGTGCAGGGGTTAAGACGCAACCTATGAAGCAATCCGCAGCCACTGCAGCACAAGTTTGATTCCGGGCCGGCCAGGGAGAAACCCACATGGCGGGACAGACCTCTCCTGTCTCGCCCGCTGCTCCTCTCAGCAGTGTATTTCCTCAGTCTGCCTGTTCTATTCCCCAATCTGTCTCTGGTGAATCCTCTCACCCTCCCGTGCATCTCTGGCCTGTACCCCAAATCTTGTATAAAAATAAATATTAAAAAAAAAAAGGGAATGCAGACAATTACGGTGTTGCAGACAGTGTATTAAGTTTTGAATCAAAAAATTTGCGGTTAGTTGCAAACTCTCCTGCTAACCAGGCAGGTCTCTCTTCCTTTCTGAACCTCAGTTTCCTTACTTGGAAATTAGGGATAATGGTACCTGCCTCAGAGATTTGTGAAATTAAGTGACATCGTTTCTATGATGAGAAAGACATGAGTTTTCACTTTAACAGTTTGAGACAGCAGAAGGTATTATTTTAAGTAAAATGGTACAATGTTTAAAAACAGACTCTGGAGCCAGACTGCCTGTGTTCAAATTGCAAGCCCTACCAGACTCACATGTGCATCTTCTGTGTCTCAGTTTCTCCATCTGGAAAAAAAAAAAAAAAAAGGTGGAGTGGGGTGGGGTGGGGGAGGAGGTAGTATTGGGAGGAAAGGAACAAAATACAGTGCCTACCTCATGGAGTTCTGAGAACTACTAGAATTGATACAGGTAAAGCACCAGAACAGCCTGGCTGGTAGTAAGTGCTCTATCCATGTTAAGCACCTCTCAGCTATACCTTGGCTCAAAAGGGTGACTGGCTTAAAAGTTACAAACCACCCCACTGATCTAGACCTCAGCGTACTGTGTGTCCTCATACCTGCGTGCTAAGGTAGGCCTGGGGTCGGGGGGGCAGGTTTTGTCAGGAAAACTACCATGCTTTCCTGTTGCTCTTTGTAGGAAGTTCTACAAACTGCAAGCTTAGATCCTGGAGGACTCTTGCAATTTCTTCTTCACTCCACCTCATCTTTTCATCAAAAAATGGGCAACACCCCAGCAGATACATCAGCATTTCCAGCTTGGACCCTTAAAATTTAAGCATCCTCTTCCTCTAATATAACTCTCCTCTCCCCTCAGTTTTCAAGTGAGGAGACATGGACCTTAGGGAATGGAAATGCCAAATCCACACAGCTAGGTATTGGCAGACTGACACAGAAGCCAGAGCAGTTCATAGTCAGAGTCAGCTGTAACTAAGAGGGTTTGGATCAGACTTAGTAGTTGAGGGCTCCAGGCACAGCTTCATCAAATACCTGGGAGACTCTGGGCAACTCACTTGACCTCTCTGTGTCTGTGTCCTTCATCTAAATAGTCAGGAATTGCCTGCAATGTGAAGTAGGCCTAATTGGCTCTCAAGGGCAGAAACAATTGGGTTATCTCTTTTTTCAGTTTTCTTGCTTCTCCTCTCCAGTTTGGGGAAAATTGTGCAGAAGATCTCAATAAGTAAGTGGTAGGAGAGAATATTTTCCTTTTGCTCCTGGTCTTTGAATCCTGTGTCCCAAGAGTCAGCTCTGATTTCTCCTCATCTATGAAATTTTTGTCTCTACTGAGTTTGTGATTTTTCTTGCCTCCTGAGTTAACAAACACTATTAGCCATGTCTTTTTTTTTTTTTTGGCTCATCACACTGTAAGTGCTCTGTATCTATTAGTCTTTTAGGTTTGTCTTTATCTCTGTGACCAGATTATTATTTTCCTAAATCTTTTTCTTCTCTAAATCTATGACTTTGACATCTTTATGCTTCTGGCATGTTGCAGATGGTCAATTATATTTTTGGTCTCTCAGATATTTGATTTATGGAAAGGAAGGATAAGGTCTGAGAAGTGATCACCATCAAGATATGTAAACTTAAGTTTTCTCTTGAAACCTTTAGGTTAGGTAAAACGTTATGTTGAGAATAAGACAGGTCATTCTGAAATATATCACTTAAAATATAACTGGAAAGCAGGCCTAAAATCATTAAATGTACCCTGCTCAGAAATGACCAGGAGATATTGATTCATTTTCAAACATTTTACCTATTTGTCATCATGGTAGTCCCACAACAAGGTGGTTGGTTGTGTTCACATTATTCTCATAATTCTCTCAAGTAAGTTTGTTTTTTTCTTCCTCGTTTTCCCCACATTGAATATAATGTTTGTTGACTCCATGTTTATGTTGATGGGCAAAGGATGCCATTGCTGCCCAGCAGGGCTTCCAGCTAGTTATTAGAAATTTGCTGTTTGATGGAGTCTGTTATGCATAAATAGGAAGGATCCTAAATTGGTTGCTAATACTGTAGAGTGCACCTCTCAAGATTGGGAATCTGGAAGTAACCTCTGAGAACCTAGATTTGGAGGGTTGGGGAGTGGAGGGCTTTCTCATTTTTAAAAAATCCAACACTGGCTTAAAAAAGGTCCTCAATAAATGCTGTGAAAGGTCAAAATAAATGAACAAATGACCATTCTGCATCAGTTGTCAGGTGCTGAAATTTAAGGTTTCTTTATGAGATAAGCTTTATATTGTTTGAGTTATCAGTGACTTCTTTCATTTAACAGATAATATAATATTTACCTGTGCTAGACACTCTTTTAAACACTTTACAAATCTGAACTCATTTAGTACTATATGGTAGGTACAATTATCTTCTCATTTTACACAGAAGGAAACTAAGGCACAGAGGGATTCAGTCATTCAGTGGCAGAACCAAGGTCCAGTCCTAGCTCTAGTCCATGGTTTCAGATGTTACACTAGGTGCCTGCATAGTTTATTCCATAGTCCTGCTACAGTTTTCATTGCCTGTCAATAAATACTTTCAACCTAAAACTGTGTAGAAAGAAATTTTTTAACACTAAAATCTTCTACAGGTACTTCCACAAAAAGTTGATATTTCATTTAATAAGATTAGCATCAGAAAGAGAAAATAATTTCCTTTGGCTGTAATGAATAAGGCCTGCCTAAGAAAGTTCCCTTTGATCAAATTTTTATGCACAGATTTATTTTTGAAGGAAAAAACTAAAAAACAGAAAAACAAAACTGTAGAGACAAGGCTATTATGCAAATTGCCACTGCAGCAAAAGCTTCTAAAGAACTGCCTTTAGAAGGAAGTTGCAGCCGCCACTCTGCTAAGTGCCCTGCTTGGAAGGGCTGTGGGCTCCCTGCTGAGAAATACTGCAGGCGCCTTTGTCAGCCTGCTGCCTGGTGCCAATTTTGGCACAGCCTAGGAGCGACATTGTGGCAGAGTGCCCCGAGATTGGATTTGGATTGGACTGGACACAGTGGAGGGCCACCTTTCCCGGAACTGTTTCTCAAAGGTGCCCTGTACCTCTTTAAGCTGTCTCTGTAGACTAATTTTCAAGTGTTGTCAACTTTGTAGGTCACTTAAACATTGATATCAGATTATATACACACTGTAGGTATTTTTTGTAGGCTAGATTAATTTTATTTCGGTATCATTAAATGCTTGTCAGTTATTTGAATCTATACATTGATAAGACTTGTTTGTGTTAAAGGTAGCATTAATGATTTATATAATTTTAGGGAAAACTTGGGTTTTGAACTCTTCCAACATGAGTGCATGGCAAGACTACATACCAGAAACTACATTTGTTGAAGGTATGCAGTATGCTAGGTTAGTTTATGTTTATTACATTGTTTAATTTTTACATTATCTCTACCTCTCTAAATATTATTAGATTCATATTGGGGGTACTGGAACTGAGACTTAAGAGAGGTTAAGGAATTTGTTCCCAGTCACACAGCTACTGATCACAGAGCTGAGATTCACATCCAAGCTAGTCTGACTCCCAAACCTCCCCTCAGTCTTTCTACTATAATACATTCCACAATCTCCCATAGAAGGTAGTTTTGTTTTTTTTTAAAATATTTTATTTATTTATTTATACAAGCACTGGGTGACAGTCAGAAGCGCCAGAGGGTGAGAGAATTCACCAGAGCCAGAGCTGGGAGCAGAGCAGGCAGAAGGACCGAAGTGCACTGCTGAGGGGAGCAGCAGGCGGCAGGAGAGGTCTGCGCGCCATGTGGAACCCTCCTCATGTGGCCGGGGAGCAGCCGGGGATCGAACTGGCGCTGCAGAGGCTGCGGGCAGCTTCGCAACCCAGCGCTCAACCGCAGCGCCACCGGGGAGACCTCGGTGGTTTGTTTTTTTTTTTAAATAAATACACAATAGTGTATTTAGATATACTCTTGAGTCGAGGATGAAAAATTTTGTTTTTAATATGGAGTAGAAAAGAATTGTAAATATTACATCCCCCTCCACTCTCCCCACCCCAGGAGTTAAGAGATTTAAATTCTGGATTTACATCGCTGGGCTAAGTATGATTATGAGCTAATGTCTTTATAGTTTATACCAACATTTCAAAAATCTTTTCCAGGTTCTCATATTTCCTCTAGGATTTGCCACATGTTAGCAATAAAGAAGATGGCTAATTGTGTTTCTTTATTCTTTTCTTTGTTTAGGATGTGATAGGCCAGGTTCTGCCTGAAGCAACAACCACAGCATTTGAATGTAAGTCTGGCTTGTATACTTACTTGACTATTTCTTTCTGCAGTAATTTTTCAAAGGGTTTATGGGTTGCATTACTTTAGAAACTGACAAAAACAGATTATTTATGATCATCATATGGCACATTTAAATATTTATAAATTAATGCAAATTTAATGATGATACTAAACCGAGTAATATTTTCTTATTTAATCATATCTTGGGTGTACATATTTCTATAATATAGCTTTAATTACCAACATGACCTTTATCTGCTCTTGCTCCTCACTGTAATAATATTATAGGACAAAATGAAAGGTGTAAACTACCTGTAGGCCAATGATTATTGATTAAGAGATTTTAATCCGTTGCTGCTTTAAAACAGCAACAGAGTAGAGCTTTTAAGTGAACATTGGCTGGAATAATTCTTTTTTCTAGGGGGTTGTCACAGCTGCTAGATGATGCCAGCCACACTTTGGATCTGGAATCCTTCTTCTCCCTTCCCCCAAATGAGTTGGCTTGGGGATGGGGACAGGGTGTACTAGAAAACAGGTTTTGACATAAACCAGGTCAGTGCAGGATAGGTCAGGGTCTGAGAAATGTTTAGATGACTTTAGTCCTTAGCACAGGGACTCTGTGATTCAAGTAGGGATTTAATACTGGTTTGGTCCCATCGCTTGAAGATGAAGGCCACTTTTCAATGTACAAAATGTGTGTTTTCTCCACACAGTAGTATACCTTTTTATCTTGTTTTTTAAGAAGATGATTAATGACAGAGAGTACAGTGTTCTCTCTTTTATTTACTTTCTTGCTGTAGGACAATTTGGCAGTACTTAGCAAAATGTAAAATATGCAAAGCTTTGATTCAGCAGTTCCACTTTTAGGAAGCTGTCCAACAGAAATACCTGCACATGTGTTGAATGACCCACAGATAAGGTACTTACTGTGGAATTATTTTTAACAGCAAGAAATTAGAGGTAAACTAAATGCCTAGAATCACGGATTAATAAATTATTTCCCCATAGTCTGAAGCAGTAAGCAGTGCCTAAAAAGAGTGAGTTAGGAAAGATATCCACCGTCTATGTTGAATAAACAATATGTATGTCTGATTCCGTTCTGTAAAATATTTAATCCCTCCTCCCCCCCAACTTTACGTATCTGTTGAGAGGCAAGAATCAAAAGAGTGTTCCCTACAGTGATTTTGCCTGAAAATGGACTTGGGGCTGGAATGGGGGAAGAGGAGGCTGAATGAACAGTTTTTTTTTATTTATTTCTCTACTGTTTAAATATTGTTCAACAATCATTACATGTTTTTAAAGCTATCAAAGCTATCTTAAGTTAAACTTTTAAAATAATTGAATTTTATATTGGACTCTATATGACCACTGAAGAATAGTACATATGTTTGAAATGCATGTTAATGGACCAGGCTGTATTCAGACCCTTTGTGGTAACTCCTTGGGGTGCCGGAAGTTCATGGACAGTCTGTTAGAGAATTGGAGCACTTGCTATTGCCAGATGCTGTGCTAAGAGCATTCCATGGGTTATCTCATTGAGTTTAACCATCATAAGATCCCCATGAAGTATTTTCAAGGGCCATTATTAGCTTCATTTTAGTTGAGGAAAGGATAACTTCTCTAAGCAACTTGTTGAAAGTCTTACAACTAATATGTGACAAAGTAGAATTTCTGAAGCAGACACCAGAGCATCTGCATATTCTCAGTCATGAGACTTGTTCTGAGAGTGGTCATAATTCTTGAAAGCTTGTATTGCAATTGTTCTTAAATGTGGCAAAAAAAGAAGCTCATGTTGTACTTTCTACTTCTTGCTTTCTGGGTCTCCAGAAGGTGCTCTGTGTACCTGTGCCTACTGGCATCCAGAGTTAGGGTTCATAACAGTAACTTTAATTATTTTAGCTATCCTTTATTGGTGGCCAGTTCTGTACATTGATAATAACTAGATTGTTACTAGTGACGAGAAAAATTACACCTGTAAGCAGACTGAGGCTCAGAGATATGAAACATTTGCCAAAAGTGATCAGCTAGGAAATGGTGGAGCATGAATTCAAACAGTTTCTTTTTATTGTAAAACTTTGGCTCTTTCTAACCAAATATGTTGAGAGAGGCTTGTGAAGTGTGCCATTAGGTATGGCTTATCTGATTATGTGGGCTAACGGGTTTATGGATGTGATGAAACAACTTTTGAATAAGTAAAATGTTGATCAAATAAATATTTATAATGATATACTTAATGCTGAAAACTATTCATAACACTAACAAAAAACCAAAACACTTAAACTTTTACATTTAAGTTCTTGGAGCTCTTTCTCTTCCAACCTCAACTGCAAAGGCGCAGCAGCTAGCTCTGTACCATTTGTGTCTGGACCATTACTAGGTGAAAACAAAACAAAACAAAACAAAATATTACGAACTTTATTTTATGAACTGAAGATCTGCGCTGATAAGTAGAATCTGTGTATGAGAGATAGTTGCAAAGATGTAATTTGGAAGCTAATTTCTGAAATTTTTGAGTTATTTTAGTGGTTTATGGGTATGATAGAACAACTCTTGAATAAATATAAGTTCAATTAAAGGTATATTTATAATACATTTAATACTGAAAAGTATACCAAAAATTAACTGATTTCTGACACAAAAGAGATGGTGTCATATTAGTGATATGAATTAAGCAATAAGAGAAAGGGTACTATGAAATTTACCTGTTTTACATAAATGTGGAGAAAAAGAGTTTAGTAAGTGGAAAAGAGGGGAAAGTTTAGATAATCTTACAGATTCTTCAGTTCTGAGAAATACATTGCTTTAGTGATGAAGCCCTTGATCGCCCAGATGTGGTTAATCGCTCTGTGCACATTTACTGGAGCCGGTAACCCATTGGGCCTGCCTTGTGGTTGGCTGTATGCGTGCTTACCTCTCTAACTAGATTTGGAATGACTTGGTGACAGGGACCCTGCTTTATTTAATTCTTGCTCTCTTCTTAATTAACTTTGTACCTTGTTGGCGCCCCCTTACTGAATAAAATGGAATGTTAAATGTGTTCATATTCAGATGGAAATTATAAAATGTATGTGACCAAAAACTAAGTAATTTGGGTTTTTTGGGATTATTTGTGCTCTTGTCAAGGCAAAAAATAGACAATTCAGGCTCTAGATTCAAATTCCCACACTCACCTCGGACCCACATCTAGGGGTAAGAAGATTTGCTGTGGCTGCTATATTCTTTCTGATTCTGACCCTATGGATGGGGTTTCCCTGGAGAGTTAGAAGTAGATGAGGGGAAGAAGGACCATTATGCTGAATTCACCTCTTCAATGGATGCTCCTAAAACTTTCTTCTTATCACCTTTTGTTCTTTCTTCCTTACGACTAGGGCACAAACGTAAATATTTTTCAGTATTGTGTTGGATTTTTTTATAAGATACAGATGATCCTTTAAAAAATTCAATCAGCATAAAAATGAAAGTTCCCTTTACCCTAATTTATACTTTCTTACATATTCTTCTAGAAATTTTGCTGTTAATAGTTTCTTCTGAATTATTATAGAAATATTGGACCTCTTTCCAACATCACTCTGCGCAGATTTGCTTCGTTCTTTTGGATAACTGTTACAGGACAGGGAGAGGGGCTGCCCAAACCCTGCAAACCTGCCTATTCTAAATGGGTTCTGCCATCCGCCACATCAACACAAAACATATGATACTTTAATGGGAAGTAACTTTAATAAAACTAGGAAACAATATAGGAAAGTCAAAGAGTCTAGTTTCTAAATGAAGCACCCAAAGTTACCCGTCCCCTCATGGGTAAAAGTCCATCCATGTGGGATCGGCCCAGAGCAAGGCCCCAAAGCCTGCCGCAAGTCTAAAGCACCTTCCAGTGGGGACCCACAGAAAAGGGTCAGAAACAACTGGACAAGCCCGGAAGGAAAAGAGCAAAATCAACATCAAGATAAAAGCTGCCATTGTCACCTCCCCACAGGTCTCACCCACATCTGTGTCACCCAGTCCATGACCAAAAGACAAGCGCAGTTTCTTCACGTGTCTCTAGGCTCCAAGCGCCTCCTCCAGCTCTCCTTCTGGCTCCATCCTGCTTCCTTCCTTCCTCAATCTCCTCTGAAGCCTCTTCTCTTCCTGCTCAGCTCCACCCTCCATTTGGGTGGGGCAGGGAACCTGGAACCCCGAACCCCCCCCTTTCCTGGGAACCACCGTGTTACATAACTATAGTTTACTTAATTTTATGGCAATAACTTATTTAACTTGTTAGTGCAAGTGTTATCTTACGCTCCCACCCATAATATTTGAGAATGCCCACTTCTGTCAGTCCTCACCCACTCTGGGTATTAGGTGAAAAGAGTTATTGTTTTATTGTTCTATTTTGTATTTCTTCAGTTATAAATGAGCTTGAGCATCTTTTCATTTGTATTTTGGTCATTCATATTTAATTTCTGTGAAGTATTACCTTTGCTATTTTTCTCACAGATTGTCTTTTTCTTTTGTTTTTAAAGATTTATTTCATTTATTTATGCATACAAGAATTGGAGTGCAGGCCAAAGGTGTGGGGGATGAGAGGATTCACCACAGACAGAGTGGGGAGCAGAGCAGGCAGATCTACTGAAATACACTGCTGAGGGGAGCAGTGGGTGAGTCAGGAGAGGTCTGCGGTCTGCTGCACCATGTTGGTCAGCTCCCTGGCCCGGGATTGCTGCAGTGGTTGCTGATAGCTTCATAGTGCTGAGACTTAACCCCTTGTGCCACCAGGGAGGCCCTTGTCCTTTCTTGATCATTTGTTTATTGCTTTCATTTCAGCTTCTTTGGCCTTTTTTCTTTCCCTCTTTTCTATGGAGAAATTAAAAGTTTTTACATGGTCAGATTTATGTTTTCCTTTGTGATTTCTGGATGTATATCTTACTTATAAAGATCTTCCACATTCCAGGATATTAAAAAAGCATTGATGCATATTCTTTTTTCTTTGTTTTAAGCAAACATATACACAGTTGGTTTGTATATAAATTG